AGGGCACCTCTCAGCTCTCTTCCTCACTCCAAAAAGCTCAGCTCCAGGCAATCCCTGTGACTTCACCCTGAGGCTGATGATGAGGGCAGGAGAGCACCCACGCTCAGGAGCAAGTGGAGGAAGCAGCAGCATCGGAGGCGAGCGGCTGCAATGCTGCCCTGCCCGCCCCGGCCCATCTCCCTGGCACCAGCACGGACACTGCCAGCCTCCCATGGCTCATAGGTGCTGCAGGACAGGCCCATGCAAGGAGCTGCAGGAGCAATCCTGTGCCATCCATCACCCAGGTGAGACACCCAACCCAGGCCACAGGTAACAATTAGCCACCCACAGGGGAGCAGGTGCGTGAGGCACCAGGCCCTGAAGGGGTAACAAGTGACCTTCCAGACATAGGCAGAGAAATTAAGTAAAAGGAAATGTTCTTGTACATCTACTTGTGACTACACTGAATATTTTTCCAGAACAGCTTGTCAACTAAAGTACACAATGTGGTAGAATAATGTAACCTAATGACACAGCTTATGTAGTCAGTAGGAGAAGGAAGAAATGGTGATTTAAATTGTTTTTTAAAAAATAATAAAAATGAGGAAGTCCCACATCTGAAATACATGGCAAAGAAATGCCAGAAGGACAACTGGTACTTTACAGGATAGCGTTTGCAACATAGAGCTCCTTGGAGAAGGCTTGTACAAACAATTGTACTGTTTCAACTTCAAATATAATTTTCAAGTGATTTAAAGGCAGTTGAGTAAGCACCTATTTAGGTTTAAGAGCGCAATTAACTTGATTTATCTGAACTCTGATTATAATCAACATAAACTAAGCTGAAATCAATGCACCTTAACTGAAATAAAGATAATAATGCAGCCCTTATACTAGGTTTGCAAAATCCATTTCAGACCAGCTCTGTAGCTTTTAGATGTGCAGCCCTGCTGTATACAAAAATATTAGTCCTTCAGAGCCCACAGACGTTTAAATCAGTAACTACAAAGGGTGTTTTCAGGGTGCGAAGATAAAACACAGTGTTCACAACTAAAGAAATTCAGGGAGATTTTTCAATTGCTTGCCTTTTCATGGAAGGATTTTTATAAATACACTTCAAATGCAGGCCTGGAAAACAAGGAGCCTCTTATGGGGGTGGCTGGAATGACAGGAGGTGTGTGGGACCACAACTCATCCATCACCCCAAAGGGACTGGAGGGGATCAAATCTGCAGCCAAAGGTGGAGGGAAGGCTGCGGAAGAGCTGTGCTGTTAGGCCAGGAGTCCGCACAGTGAGGGCTTTGGGGGTTTTTCAGCATGAGCTGAACACGGACTGTTACCAGCAAGTGGGGCTCTACCCCATAGCTGAATGCTAAGCACAGCAACTAAGGAACCCAAAAATGCATTAGACATGGTAGGAAACAATAATTAGAAGTACACTGTGTGTCTAAAACAGATGGTTTAACTAAGTGGAGTGGTGGTGGGAGCTCCTGACATCTGGGGTGCTGGGGAGGTGCCCCTTCCCAGAGGCTGCGGGACCCCAGCACAGCCAGGTCCCGCCAGGTCCTCACCACTGCACCAGCCCAGGGCCAGGCAGGAACCCAGTCCTGCCATTACAGGAGGGATCCCAAGTGCCCCCAAGGATGGGGATTGGCTCTGCTGGTGCAGCCAGTCACCCTACGGCTGCAACACGTACACGGGCAATGAAGTAGATCGCTCTGCACAGGCCAGGTACAAAGGCAGTCTGTGCCAGAGCAGGACCTGTTCTCAGAGAGCACAGCCTGGGCACTCACACAGCACTGAGGAGGACGCCAGAGCTGGGGGAACCCACAGTCACAGCTGATTTACCCCACTGAGCCTTCCTGCAGTAAGAAGATATTTCCAAGAAGTGCAGAACCTGAGAGCAAGGCTTCTCCAGCAAAGAGGACCACAAAAAGATGTATTATGAAAAATACCACTCAGCCTCACACAGACAACCTTGCACAAGGCAGGCTGTATCAGCAGCATCCGGGGCAGAGCAGGGTCCTCCCTCTCTGCCACAGGCTGGATGGGGCAAGAGAGGTGGTTCCTGGAAATGGGTGCCACTCAACTAAGGTGACAGGCTTCCAGCTAAAAAGGCAGCTTGTGGTAATAGCCTCGCTCCACCCACCCATCCATCCATCCTGGCCCTGCATCCCCATCAGGGAGCTGACATCCCCATTGCTTCTTACGCCAGTAGAGGCAAGCATTGAGGGCCATATCCACATGCTAGCTAGTACCCCCTGAAGAACACTGCCTGTAGCAATCAGCACAACAAAGATGACACCTAGCTGACTCCTCACCTGTCTCCCACAGCAGATTTTTCATTTTGTGTTGGATCCAAGCCACTGTAACTGGCTTGACCTCCCTAGTCTAAAACAAGCTCACATAAGCAGCAGTCAAATCCCAGTAGGAATTTACTGAAAGCAGCCAGGGAAGCTGAAGCCCCACCACTATTAGTAGCCCCACAAGCAATCCTGACACAGAGAAGCAGGTGTGCTCTGAAGAGTAGGATCTCTCTCACCTGTGCATGTCCTGAGCACCTGCATCCCCATGACAGAGGCACTTTGTCAGTCCCCAAGGCTGGGCAGTGACAGTGGAGATGCTGGAAGCACCTGCTGTCAGCCTCTGTCCTGGGGGAGCATGCTGCTGTGCTTCCCGTGCATGCAGCACATATGTATCTCTAGCAAATACAGGAGTGACAGGACTGTATTTTACACCTGTGCAGAGGCATTTCCTTGTGTGCCCTCTCTGTACACTGGAAATATCTGGATTCTAGTTGTTCCTTGCACAGAAAGCTTGAAGAGAAAGTCTTGTTCCCACCCTCACCAGACTCTGTGTACAATCACTCCATGTAAGCAGATAGAGGAAGAGGCACTCACTTAGTGCAGCCCTTCCAGGCTGCTGCACATAATCAATAGTCATTCACAATCAAAGACAACAAGTAGATTCAATTAACATTAATAAAAAACTCTTGTAAAGACAGAGCAGCTCCATAAAAGCTGCCTTAAAAGACTGAGAAACAAGGGATTCCTGCCATGAGAGCTGTGCTAGACTTTGGTCATCTGCCCAGCCTTTGTAGAGCTGGTAAGCAACAAAGACCCTTACATTTCAGGAGAAGTGATTCAGAAAATTATCCAGGATAAAGCTAATTTGTAAGCACTTTCCCTATGACTTGCTTTCTTATACATGATGACCCAGTAAGGGAAAGTGTACCCATTAGTACCAATCCTCACAATTAGGATTGAAAAGACAATGGAACAGACAGTGGGGAAAGGGGCACTGCTCCCTGGCCAGATGACTTCTGGTGTGGAAAGAGGTGTCTCCCATGGTTCATGACTCTGAGCTGAAGTAATATGTTCCTCACTTAGCCCTTACTTTGCAAAAATCAATCTCAAAGTCAGCAAGGACTGACCCAGGGCTTTGCCTTCACCAAGGCTATGTTGAAGAGACAGTGCTCAAATGGGGAGTGAAGGTGAAAAAAAAGCTGAGGCATACCCAAAATGGGCATGTGGGAAAAGAACCGCACAAGGAAACCAAAACCCAGCGCCATGTCCCGCTCCTTACCAGCTCATTTTCTTCATCCTTGTTGAGGAGCACACAATGATCCTTCCAAAGCTTTTCCTCCATCTGATCACGTTGTTTTCAGTCCTGGATGCCTTTGTCGGTGGGGTCAAGCAATGTTGAACGCAGTTACTGACTTGAACTCAAGCCAGAGTTAAAGTCAGCTCTCACCACGGTCCTGTCTGCTGCCTTTGAAAGCTTCACAATGCACACACTTCTTATTAGGCTCCCAGGAGAGGGAGGAAAATCCGCCCTCACGTGTAAAGCCCTTAAATGCCTGGCTTACGTAAGCCACGCATTTCTCTGGGCTGGATGAACAGGGTGCAGTGTGAACCCCCTCGAGGCAGGGAAAGATGGGGGCTCTGACCAGCCCCCCTGGCAGGGACAGCAGCAGCAGGCAGGCTTGGGAGCCACACTGCACACCTTCCAGTCTCTCATGTCCCAGCTCCCAGTGTTGTCAGAGACACTTTTCAGGCATTAACCTGAAATTGCTCTGTCTCCTCCCATTCTCCTTCTGTCACAAAGTCTGAAAACAAGCATTTATCCAGTCAGAAAAAATGTGCTCTGTTACTGTCCTGGAAGAAAGCACATGTTTGCTCGAGTAGAGACAATGTCTCTGAGTTTGCTCAAACTCTTTTTGGCTCAGGCACAGAGAAGAAATGCTCTACCACTGATGACACCAGGGGGTTTAAACTCCATAAAGAGACACGGTCTTTGCACAAAATGTATTTCCCCAATGATAGCAAATCAGGAATTCTTCTAAACTCTCCTTCCCCCAGGTGGGAGAGAGAACAATGCCCATGGACTGCAGTACAGTATGTCTGGAGTCCTCTAAACCTCCCTCAGTCTGCAGCTCCATCCTGGAAAGAGCTCCAGCAACTTAGAGAAGCACCTTTCACTAGGCAGACTACTACGGAAATAAAGGAATTTATCCATGTTTCTTCTCTTTGAAATAGAGCAAGGAGAGGCCAGGCTTTCTGGTCCTAGGATGACCAAAGAGCAATTGTCACTTTGCTGCATACTGAATCTACCTGGCTCTGCATAAGTCCAACCAGACTTTGGGGGGTTCTGCCAGTTGTGTCCATATAACAGCAAAGCTGGACCAAACACTGAAGAATCCTGGAAAAACAGGGTGATGGTGGAAAAAATACATATTTTTCTCTTTTTTTAAGCATTGTCATTCTAAACTGTCTAAAGCCTGAATTGAATCAGATTGCAAGGTAAGTAAACAGGCCCCCTTTGTCTCTACCTCTCCTCTGAGAGAACATCATCTACCATGGTGTTCTTCATGTCAGCCACTCTCATGCAGCTCCCTGGACGTGATTCACTTGCAGTCATTCCACTCCATGGTTTTCCAAAGCAGTGCCCATTTCTAAGGGTCTTGTACCTGGCCCTTACATGAAGTCCAGCTGTGTTCTTTGTGGGCATTCTTGTGGCAAAAGGCTTGTACACAAAGAGATAAACTACAACTCACTATAAGTAGGTGATTGCCTACTACCAGCCAACGCCTCTTGTAACTCTCCAGAGGAAGGAAACTCAAGAGAGGTATCATTAGCTGGGTGGTGTTGCTAGTTCTCTCTACTCTGATCATCCAGGGTAAGGTGTGTTTCATTTACAGGAATCTGACCTCCAGTCTCTGAGCAGGAGTCTCAGCAGTTTCCCAGCATGAGAATGATCCAGCAGGATTCCCAGCACTGCCACCACAGCCTGCACTTGCAAAGTGCTCTCCAAGCTGTATGGGACACCTCCAGCTTCAGTCCACCAAGCTGTGGAGCTGGCACCTGAAAAAGCAAAGAAGGACTTGGGGAATTACAGGCCAGTCATCCCAAATTGAATACATAGATGGAAGTGAGAAGAAATTCTTAAGCAGTCAGTGTGCAAGTACCTGGGGGATAATAAAGTGATAAGGAGCAACTAACATGGATCTGTCACAGGAAGATCCTATCAAACCAATCTCATTTCCTCCCTGACAGAGAGATGCTCCAGGGAACAAGAGAGAAGCAACTAATGTGGCACATTTAGGCTTTTGACAGAGCTCCCCATGAGATATGAAGATACTGAGAAATAGGATTTTTTTATGGTGGGCTGAAGGGTTGGATCCTAAGTAGGAGGTTCACTGTCCATCCCAGGGGACCCAAAATATTCATGCTTTTGTTATCAGCTTGGATAACAGAATAGAGAGGACAACCAAAAGGTGTTCATGACACTGAGCTGATGGAAGCACCTGCTTTAGAAACAATGCAGCATGATTTTGGGATGCTGGCCAAATAGACTGAAATGACCATATGAAATTCAGTAAAATGCTTCACTTAGTAGCTGGAGGAAGCACGTAGGAAATAGAGGTGGTGGCCAAGCAGGTGTATGACAGAGAAGGAGCCACAGCTAACTGCAGGTTGAGTTTCCTCTTGCCAAAAACGTGACTGTCATTCTGAGTCACAGTATCAGGAGGCTGGTGAGATCTGTAAGATGGGAGGAACTTATTCCACTCAACTCACTGTGAGCAAGTCCTCAGCTGGAGTTCAGGCTCCAGGAAGGTGCAACCTAAATGGCCAGAGATGAGAAGTTAGGAAAACATGACTCATGAAGAAAAGTTGAATAATTGCGTTTGTTTAAACTAGAAAATAAAAGGCTGAAGGGAAACATAATAACTCTCATAATACACAAAAGGAGACAGTCAACTATTTTTTTTCTCCTGTTCTTATTAGAAACAAAGAAAAATCAGACTAATTTCTTGACAGATTAAGCAATTAGATTTTTAGAGTTAGTTTAGATATTCAGGAAGATTTTCTAACTTAAAGGATAGTAAAATACTCAAACAGGCTACATAGGGCACGGGGAAATCTTATATAATAGAAGATTTTAAGGAAAAGCAGATCATAATTTGCCAAGGATGATCTAAAGATAGGAAGATCTTGCCTTGCAGCAGGGAGATGGACAAATAACCACATCAGGTCCCCACTAGCCTCATGCACCTGTGATTTCTGCAGCAATCCCTGTCCAAGCTCAGTAAGGCACAGCCCAGACCTTAACTGCAGTGGGGCAATGGTGCTCTGTGGATTCACATCCAGGTAACCTTATTTAGCAGGACCATGCCATTCATTCCTGGGACCAACCAGTCTGCAATGAGACACCTGCACAGCAGTGTGTGTCAGGACTTACATTTCTCCAGTCCTGCCTGTATTATTTCTTGTGTATTTTCTGCTGGTTTTGTATTTCTCCTGATGTTCCTGTCATTCTGCCCTCCTCTTTCTCCTTCCCTGGGCTCTGATCAGGTCTATTTCCAGCACTGCTGAGTGTCTGATACCAGGTTATTAAAAAAACCTTAGCTGTATTGAACAAAGCTATTGAAAAGCAAAGCCATGCCTGATTTCAAACCCTTTGTCCCAGTGCCCAACTGCTCAGTTACCACCCTGAGTGCCCTTGCTCAGCCTCTACCTGCTGTGACCCAGCCAGCTGACAGGTTAGGTTATCTGAGTACAGTCCTACCAGATGTCTGAGATTGACATTTTTAGAGCTTTTAAACAGACCACAGGCTTAATGACTGCATTCTTCACCTCATCTGTGCATTCTTCACCTCATCTGCAGGCAGGGGAGCCAAGAAGGTAAGTTCATCAAGGTTTGTCCCAATTTCTTGAGAAACGCAGATGACACGTGTTGTTGGTAAGCACAGTGAACTTCCTAGTAACAACCAAAATGATTCAAACATTTGCTGGGTATCTGTGGGGGCTGTGCATGGTTCAGGTATCAGAGGTGTTGTAGCTGTACCACCACAACACCCCCTGTGCGTTAATCCGGCATCCTGGAGAGGACAGTGGGTCAGTCCACGTAAGACATCGCTCTTACAGGGCCAGATGCCTCCAGCATTGGGCTCACTCAACCCTAGAGAGCTCAGGGGAAGGGAGCTGGTCTGTGTGGTAGCTCCTTCAGCTGTGCACACACTGGGAAGAAAGAGCTGGGGAATTGCTCTAAAACATGCTGCCTGCCAGCAAAGCTAACAAAACATTAGGACCTCCATGCAGACAAGCTGAAAGTTGACAGGGGGCATGGCATAGAGCTTTGTCTCGGGGAAAATGGTTAAAGGCATCTCAGAATCTGGAGATCTGACCTTATTGCACCTTTCAGTACTTGAAGGGGCCTCTAAGAAAGATGGGGACAGACTTTTTATTTAGCAGGGCCTGTAGTGATAGGACGAGGGGTGATGGTTTTAAACTAACAGAGGAGACATTTAGAAACTTCTTACACTGAAGGTGGTGAGACACCAGGCCAGGCCAGGTTGCCCCAAGAGGTGGTGGATGCTCCATCCCTGGAAACATTCACAGTACGGCTGGAGTCTAGTGGAAGGTGTCCCTGCTCATTGCAGGGGAGTTGGACTAGATGACCTTTAAAGGCCTCTTACAACCCAAACTATTCTATCTTTTTTTTTTTTTTTTCTCCCTTTTACCCAGTGATCTATACCAAGTAATCAAAGCTATGTCAGAGACAAGCACCTCCTGTGGCCACCAGCTACAAGGGACACTGAAAACAGGACACACCCGAGCAGGGACAAATATGCTTTGTATTTCAGATACTCAAGACATTTAATTACCTTCTTAGAAGAGGAAACATGTCCTCATTGCTGACAGCCAACTAAGAAGCAAATTTGCACAGCCTGGCTTGGCTGACAGCGTGTTTGAGTGCTGCCATTCCTTGTAGGCATTTGGCAATGAGCATGGGGTGCACTGAACCATCATGCAGCACAGCATGACCCTCCTAGCCCAGGGGCTGCACACTGTCCACCCACAAACTAGACAAAGGCTGTAGAGGGGTTAATCACTTTCTGGTGGGGGATGTTAGTGCAGAATGCTCTGGGACTATTTGTCTAACGTGAAGACTTTAGGAGCTGTAAGTGGGAGTAATGAGTCCTCTAAATTCAGTTGTTGGCACCAGACACCTGCAATATCTATGATAACGGAATTCTCTGTTTCCTTTCCTTAAACAGGGTGGTCCAGGTACCAGCTATTTATACGTCCCTTTCCTGGTTCTTTGTCTCTGCAGCCCCCTCTGTAATTCTCCTGAAGAGCTGTGTT